CAATCCTTATTGACTCCACTTCCACGGCATCTCCTGTATTACCTTAATTCACATAGTCCAATATCATTTATTGTATGAACAATAGTAGTTTACTGGTTGGTCTTCCTGCTTCCAGTATTTCTCTCCTATATAATTCCTCTTCTACACAACCTCCCAAATAATCATCCTAAAGCTATCTTTGACTCCTCATTCTTGCTTATCCCCAAATCCAATCTGTTGCCAACTCTAATCAATTTTACCTTTTTGATATTTCTCATACATTCCTCCTTCTCTCCTCTGACCCTGCCACCACCCTGGTGTAAGCCCTCATCACCTCACACCTGGATCACACAGTAGCCTACTGGTGGGTCTGCCTATCTCAAATGTCTCTTCAGTCCAGTTCATCCTCAACTTAACTATCAAATTAATTTTCCTAAAGTACAGACCTGACCAAGTCATCCTCTACTCAATAAAATTCCAGTGGTTCCCTATCAGTTCTAGGATCTAATATAAAATTCTCTGTTGGACATTCCTAGCCCTTCCCAACCTAGCCCATTCTTACCTTTCCAATCTTCTTACACCTTACTTCAGTCTACCTTACTCATATAGTTCCTCCTCTTCCACCCCCACCCACACCTCCAAACTTGCTTTATGATGGAGTGGCCTTATACTTATTCTTTGCTCTTCTATGCATAAGATGCTTCATTTTCAAACTCCAGGCATTTTCTCTGGCTGGCTGTTCCTCATGCCGGGAATGATCTCCCTTATCCTGGTTTCCTTTAAATACCAGCTAAAATCCCATCTTCTACAGAAAGACTTTCCTGATCTTCCTAAGTGCTTTCCCTCTATTGATTATCTCTAACTTATCCTGTACACATTTTGTTTATATAGTTGTTTTCATGTTCTCTCCCTGATTCTGCTGTCCCTGGAGAGCAGGGACAGCATAGTTCTGGCACATTGTCGATGCAAGAAATGCTTATTAACTGACTGACTAAAGCACAAGTCTGACCATGGCATCCCACCCCCAGCCTTTCTATACCCACAGGAAATCCTCTTTCAGTCTCTACTCATTGCTATAGGACAGGGTATAAACAGAAACTTAAAGACTTGAATAATTTTTCTTCCACTTACTTTTTCTGGACTTATTTCACATGATTACCCTCCACAGACTAGGTTCTAATAATATTGAACTACTACTTCTGTTAATACTACTAACCACCACCACCACTACTACTACTACCATCACCACTACTACTACTGCTACTACTATCACCATCACCACCACCACACTATTAAGGCTGTTGTTACTACTACTACCACCATCACCATCATCACCACCACCACCATTGCTACTACTACTACCACCACCATCATCACTACCACTACCACCACTACTACTATCACCACCACTACTACTACTATTATTACTACTACCACCACTGCTGCCACCACCATCATATATTACTACCATTACTACCACCACCACCATCACTACTACCACTGCTACTGCTATTATTACTACTACTACTACCAGCACCACCACCACTACTAGTACTACTATCATTACCACTACTCCTACTACCATTACTACTACTACTCTACCACTACTACTACCATCATCACCTACACCAGCACCAGTACCTCCACCACTACTATAACTATAACTACTACTACTAGTATAACCACTACTACTACCTTTTCTCAAAGACTGACACTTCATCTTATATCTCTGAGTATTTATATCCATGCTTGATAACCAGGGGCTCAATCTCCAACTCTTAGTATCCTCATCTTTCTTAGGGAAAGCTCCAGCTCGTCTTCAAAGCCTTCCCTGGCCCTTCCACTCCTAGGTGTTAATCTTTTTTTCCTTATTTTTTCTTGTGCCATAGGAATTTGTGTCCATGTTACATTTCCAAGCTCAATAGGGCAGGAATTATTTCATTTATGTCTTTGTATCTCCAGTAGCCTTGAAAATAGGTGATTAATAACTATTTGTTGCTGAACTTAATTGAATAATGAAGAAATAAGGCATCTCTGTGAGACAGATTTCACACACATATCTTTAGGATAGGTTTGACTGCGTTAAAATTTATTTATCAAGGCAAAGGAAAAGTCTAGTGTTCAAAGACTGGAATTGAATCATTTCAGCAGAATAGGTATGATTTCCCCCTTTTCCTGTTAAATTTATCATCACTATATGCTATAAGTATTTTAACAGTCTGTGTATATCTATCAGGTATAAATATTAAGTACAACAGGCAGACGGTACTGATTTTTCTTTAGAAAGTCTTCTGTCACCTGTGAATTAAAGATAACAAAATGGAGTGTAGTTTCCTTTCATTATACTCTACTGGAAACAATGAGGGTGATAGTTCTATAATATTGTTATTTTTTGTTTTTTGGTTTTGTTTTTTTTACTTCCCAGGGAACATGATATGGGCATAGCTCTTGAAGATATTCCAATTCACTTCAATTCAAACAATTCTATCCAGTTCAGTATAATGGATAGAGTTCTAGGCTTGGAACCAGAACAACTTGAGCTCAAATTTGGCCTCAGATATTTAATAGCCGCGCAACCTAGGCAAGTCACTTAACTGCTATCTGCCTCAGTTTCCTCATCTATAAAATGGGGATAATAATGGCATTTATCTCTCAGGGGGGTTGTGAGGATAAAATGAAATAATATTTGTAAAGCACTTTGCAACCTTAAAGCACTATGTAAATTCTAGCTACTGTTGATATTATTATTATTATTTTATACATCCCCCTCATTGGGGAAGTAGATGTAACATGTGCCAACTTATTGCCTGACCTTTCTGCCATGCCTGGGGTACCCTTCCTCACCCTATGACAAGGGTAGATTTCCTTCCAATGTTCAGTTCTGGGACCATATTTAACCATTTAATTAACCTGTATTTATTGAGTGCCTACTGGTGCTTTTCGACAAAGATTTTTAAGGAGGTCAAGAGAATCATCGTACTGTTTACAACTACATTCACACAGATACTTGTTAGTGCCTGAATTTTATATGTGTTGCTACCTCAAATGTCTGTTTTGCCTCTAGTAAAGTATAAACTCCCTGATGAGAGGGAGAAAGGACCCGATGTTATATATGCCTTCTCTGTTGTATCTATTACGGAGATTCTTAGTAAAATTCATTTGAGTGAATAAATGATTGTTTCTAATTCATTGTTCTTTTTTTATATCACCAATCATGTAATGCTTACAAGTTTCACACATATACCTATATTAATAATTATAATTTGATTAATCTGAAAAGATCCTGGCTCAGGGTTTTAAGAATTCCCTGATTATACACATTGAAGCAGCTAGGTGATTTAGAGAATAGAATATGAGACTTGGAGTCAGGAAGACCTGAATTCAAATCCTGCCTCAAACACTTCAGCTGTGTGATCCTGGGCATGTCACTTTTCCTCTGCTTTAGTTTTTGAATGACATAAGAGTAGCACCCATTGCTCAGGGTTTTGTGAGAGTTGCCTCAGATAATCTTTTTTTTTTTTTTTTAGGCAATTGGGGTTAAGTGACTTGCCCAGGGTCACACTGGTGACCCTAGTGTCAAGTGTTTCATCTGAGGCCAGATTTGAACTCAGGTGCTCCTGACTTCAGGGCCGGTGCTCTATCCACTGCACCACCTAGCTGCCCCTTCAGATAATCTTTGTAACATGCTTTGCAAATCAGGGTTTAATTGTACACCTTCATAAATAGTGATGCTCCATCTGGTTACTCAAATACTATCTCTATAGTTTAGTTTCTAAACTAATTTAAAAAAAATGAACTAATTCAACAGCTACAATTAACTCAGACAAGAATTTTGGGGGGGAGAAGAGAAGATTCTGGTTGTCAGTGGACTATACAAAATGGCAGACACCAGCACAATCTGTGACCAAGTAAACAGGGTCTAATATAAATTACTAATGAAAATGGTACAACTGTAAAACTCTGGCCTAGCTGCACCAAATTGTCCCCTTTATCCATTAAATTGATGCTTTTTATTTGACAAATTAAGGACTCTTAATGATTATACAGCTTAAAGGTACCCTAGAGATTACTTAATCCAACTCACTCGTTTTATAAATTAGAAAGCTATTGGTTCAAAAATATGAAATAACTTTTCACAAGATCACAAGATTAGTTTGTAGTGGACCCAGGAAGAGAATTCAAATCTCCTACACAGTTACTGTGCTATCTCTGGGAAGGCAGAAGTAGTTTTCTTCTCTGAGGTTGGGAAATAAGAATTAGGATTGATTCTGTTGGGTTTCATTAATGTTTTTTTCAAATGTTCCCCCAAATATCTGAGAACTAAAACCAAAGTAATTCTTCAATAACATAGGCCATGGTATTTTAAATATTTGGACTCTATAGATATCATTATTAGATTGAATGTTGTTAGAAAAGGTTGTCCCAGAATTATTATAAGTTTTTAACTTGTGAACATAAGTACATACAAATAGCTATTCCATGATGCACTGAAGGGGGAGAGAATCCTCTAGAGTATGAAACATACTATTGCTACCACCACCAACACCACTACTAAGTGCCACAGTGGATAAAGTGCTGGGCCTAGAGTCAGGAAGACTCATATTCCTGAGTTCAAATCTGGCATCAGACATGTACAAACTGTGTAACTCTTGGCAAGTCACTTTAACCTGTTTGTCTCAGTATCCTCATCTGCAGAATGATCTAGAAAAAGAAATGACAAATCACTCCAGTCTTTGCCAAGGAAACCCCAAAATGGTATCATAAAGAGTCACATACAACTGAAACAATTGAATAATAACATGAAACCTCACACTGCTGTCTTGTATAGTGTTTATTCATTACTATGGGAAAGAGATAAACTAGCTCCATAGGTCTAGAATTAGACAAATCACTTAATTTTGATTTTATTAATGATCTGCTCTTTTAGTGCCAAAATTTCACTGTTTCACAGGTGCGTGGAAAACATTATAATCAGTTATGCTTAATATGAATTTCATCTGAGTCTTTTCATGTGCTTTTAGGAAAAGCAAAGCATTGACAGAAACAGGTGATGTTGAAGACAAATATGAAACAGTGGTGACAATAGAAAATGGTATTCCCTGTGATACTCTAGATTCCAAGGAAGGACGTATTAACAGAGCCTTTGCAGCAGACGGTGAAAAACTCACATCGCTTTGAGAAGCAGTTACTTTCTATTGCCCTACAGAAACATAATTTTGCTGCTGACCATCTAGAAATATCAAGGAATGAGAGAGTTGTTTTTTTTTTTCTACTGTGCATCTTCTTTTGTAAGACATTTAGATGACCAAAACAAGTGAAGAAGAAATTGACTCTAAAAGTAGTTGATAAGGGTAATTTGAATCTTAAGACATTAATTAAGCAAATTATTGTAAAATATTTTCCTGCGAATATAAGGTTTAAGGATATTCATATGATGTGTTTAATTATTGATTTTAAAGTGTCTATTTTCTCATTTTTCTTCTTTTTTAGAAGGGCAGGACAAGAATATGCTGGCACATTTAACAACCGGCTCTTCAAAAATAAATGAACACATGAGACATACTTTTAAGTTTCATCAGCATTATTAACATTTTCTTCATCACTTTCTTAAGCCTCTACTATTGAAAAAAAAAACAATAAATCTAACCTTGATTTGAAGCATTTGCTGATTTCCAAGGTGTAAATGCTTTGCCTGAAAATGTAACAATCAGCTGTGGTAAGCCAGTTTGAGTAGGCTTCAGCACATCCCTGTTATTGCCACTTCCTACTTGGGTTACTAGCTAAGTCCCTCTCTGGGCCTTCTTTTCCTCATCTCTAAGGTGAAAGAGTTGGAAAAGATGATATCTAGGAACTTGTTCAACTATAAAACTGTGCTCTTATGATCCCAGTTCTTCCTATATGTTTAGATGACCTAAGGAGAATTTTTGCTTGTGTGATAGAAATGGAGAATACTGAAAGACATGTCATAGTTGAAAACTAATTACACTGCCTAAAATGTATCTGTTTTTGCTTTAAGGAGACATTTTGATGTTGCCTTTTTGTCTATTGCAAATAGGTAAATGAGGAAGATCTAGAATCTTTTCTCTTATACGGGCTTGATAAAAATGGGTGTGGATGAGATAGAGAGAGGAGTTCGATACTCTTAGCATGTAAACATTTCCTAATATATGTTCTGAATATGAAGTTCAACTCATCATACCATTTCTACTATTTGACTACTTTTTGCAGTTTGTAAGTTCATAAAATGTTCCCACCCCATTCAATAAAAATGTTAAAAGTTATGTCTCTTTACTTATGTGAGTTCAGAGCTGGATGTCTATTTCATCAAATAGACTGGTGAGGTATTAGATTGCAGGTCCAAATATTCTTGTCCTTAACCACAAGTCCAAGTCAAAAATTCAACTTCTTTGGATATTCTTGGGTAAAGAAACCTAGTGATTTCTAGACCATATTTTCTTGGTAGATTTGGTAGAATTTCTTCAGTTTTCATTCTTTTTTTTTCTTTTTTTTAGGCAATTAGGCTTAAGTGACTTGGCCAAGGGTCACACAGCTAGTAAATGTCTGGGGCCAGATTTGAAGTGAGGTCCTCCTGATTCCAAGACTGGTGCTCTATCCACTACACCACCTAGCTGTCCCTTCAGTCTCCATTCTTACAATCATCATTACTAAGCATTTAAGCATTGCTGCAGCTAGGTGGCCCAGGGCATAGAGAGCTACACTTTGAATCAGGAAGATGTGAATTTGAACCCTGTTTCACACAATTTTGCTGTGTGACCTTGGGCAAGTCACTTAAACTTTCTGTGCCTCAGTTTCCCCATCTGTAAAATGGAGATAATAATAGCATTTACCTCACAGGGTTGTTGTGAGAAACAAATGAGTCAACATGTATATATATATAGATATGTTAACATATATAACATATAAGGCTTTGCAAACCTTGAAGCACCATACAAATGTTAGCTGTTATTATTTACCAATAGGAATATAAAAAGTTGTTTAGTATCCCACTGTCACCAACCTATTGTATTTCCTACTGTTACTACCATCAGTCAGCTGAGAAATATGTATGTCCCAGCTCTGTTAGTGGAGTAGAAGTGAGACCTGTGGGCAAAGGAGCTAGGATTACAACCGAGAATCACCTACCCAGCAAAACTGAGTATAATCCTTCAGAGGAAAAAATGGATATTCAATGAAATAGAGGACTGTCAAGTATTCCTGATGAAAAGACCAGAGCTGAATAGAAAAATTTGACTTTCAAACACAAGACCCAAGAGAAGCATAAAAAGGTAAACAGGAAAGGGAAATCATAAGAGACTTAATAAGGTTAAACTGTTTACATTCCTACATGGGAAGATGATACTTGTACCTTATAAGAACTTTCTCATTATTAGGGCAGTTGGAAGGAGTATATATAGATAGAGGGCACAGGTGTAAGTTGAATATGAAGGGATGATATCTAAAAAAAATAAAATTAAGAGGTGAGAGGGGAATGTACTGGGAGAAAGAGAAAGGGAGATGTAGAATGGGGTAAATTATCTCATAAAAGAGGCAAGAAAAAGTTTTTACAGTGGAGGGGAAGAAGGGGAAGGTGAGGGGGAGTGAGTGAACTTTATTCTCATCAGAACTGGCTCAAAGAGAGAATAACATACACACTCAATTGGGTATAGAAATATATCTTATCCTACAGGAAATTAGGAAGGGAAAAAGGGGATGGGATATGGTGATAGAAGGGAGAGCAGATTGGGTAAGGCTGTAGTTAGAAGCAAAACACTTGAGGGGAGATGGGTGAAAGGAGAGAGAGAATAGAATAAACCAAGGGAGAAATAGGATGGAGGGAAATAAAGTTAGCAATAATTGTGAAAAAAAATTTGAAGGGTTTCTCTGATAAAGGCCTCATTTCTCAAACATATAGAGAACTGAGTCAAATTTATAAAAATAACAGCCATTCCCCAACCGATAAATGATCAAAAGGTATGAACAGTTTTCAGATGAAATAATCAAAGCTATCCATAGCCATATAAAAATGCTCTAAATCACTATTGATTGGAGAAATGCAAATTAAAACAATTCTGAGGTACTACATCATACCTATTAGATTGGCTATTAAGACAGAAAAGGAAAATAACAAATGTTGGAGGGGATATGGGAAAAATGGGACATTTATGCATTGTTGGTGGAGTTGTGACCTGATTCAACCATTATGTAGAGCAATTTGGAACTATGCCCAAAGGGGTATAAAACTGTGCACGTCTTTTCTTTGGCCTAGCTACTACTACTAGGTATGTATCCCAAAAGAGATAAAAAAAAAAACAAAAACAAAAAACGAAAAGGAAACGGACCTATCTGTTCAAAAATATTTATAGCATCTCTTTTCTGGTGGCAAAGAAATGGAAATTGAGGGGATGCCCATCAGTTGGGGGAATGACTGAACAAAACTGTGGTATATGATTGTGATGGAATATTATTGTGTCATAAGAAATGAAGAGCAGGATGTTCTCAGAAAAACCTGGAAAGACTTACAAAAGCTGGTGCAAAGTGACATATACTGTGTACAAAATAACAGCAATATTGTAAGATGATCAGCTCTGAATGACAGCTATTCTCAGCAATGCAATGACCCAAGACACCTGAAGGGCTTATGATGAAAAATGCTATCCGTCCTCAGAGAAAGAACTGATGGTGTCTGAATACAGATTGAAACATACTTGTTTTTACTTTCTTTATTTTTCTTGAGTTTTTTTGTCTGTTTTCTTTCACAACATGACCACTTATGGAAATATGTTTTGCATGACTACACATGTATAAGTTACACTGAATTGCTTGTTTTCTCAATGAGGGGGAGTGGGAAGGGAGGAAGGGAGAGAATTTGGAACTCAAAGTTTAAAAACTGAATGTTAAAAATTATTTTTACATGTAATTTGCGAAAAATAAAATGTTAAACAAAAAAAGAAGTGATGCGTGTAATAATCCATGTCCCTATTTGTTATGGTGCATTTATGGATTTGATGGAGAGAGAATACTCATACTCAGGAAGTCTTACCACAATTTGCTGATATCAACACAAAGAACACAATGAGGTTACTTATAGCTTATGATTAGTCTTCATTCAAAAACTTCCATACTACCAGCATTAAGGATTTTTAAAAAAACTGTTTTTCCTTTAGAGGTAGTTTAGTATAGTTATTAAAATAGAAAAATAAACACCAATGAATCAGACAACTGTAGTCCTTAAAAATGAACAAAAAAACCTGGTTTGACTTTTGCTGCTTTCCAGAGTGATCAGGGGTAGATCTAGTAAATGCCAGAGGAGTTAGGTGAACTATAGCGCTGCCTGGCCTTTAAAGTGCAGAAATGTCCCAGGGATCTCCTGAACTGGTTGTATTATATGTGACATTGATCTGGCCAATCATTCTCTCGTGATATCATGAAAATCCAAACTTGCCCCACTCCATTCTCTTCCCTTATTTACACCTTACTCAACCTAGCTTAGAAATACTATTTTTATCTGGGGCATAATTTAGAAATGGAGAAGGAAATTGCAAACTTCTCTGGCGTCTTTGACAAGAAAACCTAACAATGTCACAAAAAGTCAGACACGGCTGAAACAGCTCAACAACAGCACAATCTGGGAAAGGGAGGCAATGACTGAGGGGATAGAAGGGCAGTCTGGGAGTCAAGGTGACCCAGATTCAAGTCCCACTTTTGACACACATCGGTTCTGTGATTCTGGACAAATCACTTAACCTTTCGTTTTACCAGCAACTCTCTAAGACTATCAATTACAGGACAGTTGGGGATCTGCAGCAATAGAAGTTTCCTCAAGAGAGTTCTCTACATTGATGAATTCATAGGACTAGCCTCTCCCCACCAAATGTCAGTTGTAATTCTAATATCTTTGCTGAGAAAAGAGTTTTAGTATAATAAACAGAGAGTCAGTAACACTCTAGGGAATATAGAAACAGATATGAGACTGGGCAACAAATGTCCAGGAACTCTCTTTACCTGCAACAGGGCATTTGCATGATCCTGTCTGATTCTCTGTGGTACCCATTACAAAATCTCCTAAGTCAGGAGTTTGCTAATTAGCTCTACCATTTAGGTTGTTAAGAATTCACATTTTCCCAAGGCCTGCTACTCTTATTACATTCAGTAGCAATAGAACAGAATGTTCTACCTAC